ATCTATAAATGCACTAGCTTTCTCTGTAACAGCCCAGCCTGGAAGGAGAGAACCTCAATTGAGTAAATAAGTTCATTAGTTTATCCTGTAAGCAAGTCTAATGTAGGAGGGTCCAGGTCCCCATGGCCAGTGCCACCTCTGGGCACGTGATCCTAGGAGGTATAAGAAAGGTAGCTGAGCAATGAGCCTGATCAAGTCAGTAAGCAGTGTTCCTCCACGCCTCCTGCCTGTGCTCCTGTTTGAGTTCACACCCTGAATGCCGTCAATGATGGCCTGTGATCAGGACATGTAAGCCAAATAAGCCCTTTACACTCATGCTGGGTTTGGTCATGTGTTTATTACAGCAACAGAAAGCAAATTAGAACATATTCAAACCTTTATTCCCAGAGGGGATAAGCTCATTATAATAAACAGTATATACAGTACCATACACTCAGAAATATAAAGAACTATGTTTATTACTCTGAGTCAAAGGAGCCAGACAAAAGCTGTACCTGCTATATAGTCCACTTATATAAATACAAGAAATTTCAAAGTAATCTGAAGTGACAGAAAACATATGAGCTGCCTGGGAACAAGGAAGTAGAGACACAGAAATGCTTGGCAGTTAATGGTTTTGTTCATTTTCATAGGTATACAGCAAAATGTGTCCAAGTGTAACGTGTACTACACAGAGCACTGTTGAACACGAACCACAGGTGTCTCAGTGCACTCCCACTGTACTGACAAGAGTACTCTAGATCAAGCAGGTGAGTTACAGAACAAGGGAACTCCTGCTCACTGTCTATGCAATGTGAACTAACACTCCACAAGCCGTCTGCCGGTCTTAACAGAACTGAGCAAATGCGCACTCTACAAACCGAGAGTTCCATTCCTAGGCATAGAGCCTTAAATCTACCGCTAACCTAAGCGAACGGCAGAATGGCTTACACACATTTTGAAAGCATACAAAACATTTGTTAAGTAAGAGTATGTACATAGTTATGTGGCTACATGACAACATAAACAACACGTTCAACTTACCCTCGGTGCAAGGGCTATATCCTACCCAAGGGGGAGACGGGGCCAGAAGGCCACACAAGACAGTCCAACCACAGGTTGGTTGTGGAAGTCAGGCAAACATGTGAATAACTGATAAATGACAAAAGCTGATTGCCTCTTATTTCCTACAGGCTTGAAATATTTTAATATATTCCAAGATAACAAATCCCTATGTATAAAAATCTGTAACAAAGTAATGCAGAGGAAAACTTACAGCCTAAAATGAATTTATTGAAAACAAATTTTACACAAAAGTTGTCAAAGAGCAAAATGGAAATTATAAAAATATAAAATAAGATGTATTTTTTTAAAGTGTAGATAATTGCCAGATGTCATTAAAAACTACAGGAAAGAAACAGTATGCAGAAACAGTGACTCTCCAATTTTTGGTCTCAGAATTCCTTTAGATTTAAAAATCTTTGATATTTCTATCAATATATAATGTAATAAAATTAAAACAAAGAAAAAAATATTAAAAACTTTTTCATACAACATATCTGACTGTGCTTCTCCTTCCCCAAAGGCCTCCCAACCCTCCCCATCTCTCCATGCACCCAACTTCATACCTTCTTTAAAAAAAAAAAAAAGTACCACACACACACACAAAAAGCCCCACAAGAAACAGAAGCCAAAATATACAAGCAAAAGATCAGTAGGACAAAAAAATGCCCAAACAAAAGTAAAATGAGATAGAAATTCTACAAAAATATCACTGAGCCCATTTTATGCTGGTCAAATACTCCTGGGCACGGAGCTTGCCCTGAAGTGAGGTTTTTATACCCAGTTAGACTCCACTGGAGAAAAGCAATCTTCCCTTTGCCAGTGGGTATCAAGTGCAGATTGCTTCTTGGTTAGGGGTGGGAGCCTGTGTCCACTTCCCCCTAGCAGTGCTGGGACTCCATCTGGCATCAACTTGTGCATGCCGCCAGGCTCTGTGAGTTTATATGTGCATCGGTCCTGTTGGGTCTGGAAGACACTGTTTTCCTGGAGTAGCACAAATGTCAACACAGTGAAAAAGGCAGATGGTATCTTATCAAAGTGGTTTTGACCTTCCACACACACACACACACACTTTTCTGGAGTAGCACAAATGTCAACACAGTGAAAAAGGCAGATGGTATCTTATCAAAGTGGTTTTGACCTTCAAGACCCCTAGAAATCAAGGGTCATGGGGTACCAAGTGGTCTGAATGTCATACTTCTGAGAACCACTCAGGAGACAGTCCCTTAGAAACTATCAAGAGAAGACAAGAAAGGCACAGTGGTAACAGAACAAAACCATTTTAAAATTATTCTTTTCCTACACAATCTTAAACTTTTCTCTAGCTACAATTACATACACATCATTACAGAGATGTATATGTAGGCATGTGTGTGCTCACATGTCCGCCAAAGGCCAGATGGCTTAGGCTGAGGACTGGCTCTCCTGAGTAGCCAAGACAGGTTTTCACATCTACAGTGGAGAAGATGACAGAAGTATATCCCTTCCCTACCTCAATATAATCTAGTGAAGAGTCAAATGTCCAACCCAAGTAAATGCATTTAAGCTAGTTAGCAAATGATGAATTGTGCATGATATTGTTACATAACAGAATTCTACCAATGAACATGAAATGGTCTACTTTTCTAGGGAAGCATAAAAAGCAAACCTTGAGTGAAATGAGACACACCGACCTGAACTCAGTCCTCTGCCAGTCGCTCCCCACGTTGCCTGGTGCAGCTTCCTCTTGTCTTATGTCAAGCCTGCCCAGCCCCACAGCTGTAGTGCTCTAATCAAGAGACTGTCTGTCCTTTCCTTCCTCCACTGTCTTGTCTTGGGGGGGGGGGGGGCTGAGAATGGAATCTCTGGGTGGGGGGGTGCTCCTGGCAGCCTTCTCCTGGTGGTCTCTGCTCCTCCCAACCACAACCACCACCTTCCATTGCTGGACCTGACAAAATCCACTGGTTTCAGTCCATTACTGGCTGACTTCACTGCTTGGGGCCTTACAGAGCATCATGCCCGGGTTGAGTGTACAGTGCAGGCCAGAACCCTTATACACAATCAGCAGGAGCACAAACCTTGGGAGCAGGGGAATTGTGTTTCCTATCCGTAACACATACCATCTAGGGGAGTCCTCACAGCGTTGGCCCCAAAGCTCCAATTCTGTGGGAAACACAACTGTTCCTCTCACTTGTAGCTCAAAAACTCAAGACAGCTGAAGCCTAGTCTTTTAGACAGTGTCACTGACTTCTAGGAAACCGATGAGCTTCCTCACACCAAGAGAAATGGGCTGCTTCATGGGCATTCCCATCCCACCTCTTCATTCTCTTTGAGTATCAAGTCCCCTTTCCAAATATGTACGTTGTTAAGACAGTGGAAAGATGAGCATTGGGACCAAAAGGCAAAGTGTCTAGCAAGGCCTTTCACTATTCATATGACTGGAGCTCTAGGAATATTTAATCTAACGGCAGAGACTGAGAGCACAGAGCTACAACTCTCCAACTGAACCATCACTGAATGGGAGTATGGTTACCTTTCCCTATGTTACTCCAGAGTGGAGAGGCTGGCTAGACTGACAGACCAGGGACAAAACTTCTAATGTGATTTCATACAGGAAGTCATTAAAAATTACTCATGTCTCAAATAGGGATGAGCAGTACTGCGAATGTCCCACTACTTCAGAGGCAAAAGACGCTTGAATGTTTGGTTATGACATTGAGGAATGGGCACAAAATAACAGGGATTGAGCTGACATTTAAAACAAAAGAGGCCATTGTTTGTAATTGAGTCTTGCTTTGTAACCCAGGCTAGCTTCTAATTCATGATCCCCTTGCCTCTACTGACCAGCTGAAGTCTGATGAGTGCTGTGGTGTTTTGAATTGGTAAGGCCCCCATAGACTCATGTGTTTGAATGCTTAGCCCGTAGGGAGTGGCACTATTAGGAGGTAGGGCCTTGCTGGAGGAAGTGTGTCACTGTGGGGGCAGGCTTTGAGGTCTCATATGTGCTCAAGCTACTCCCAGTACACGGTCCACTTCCTGCTGCCTGCAGATCAAGATGTCGAAGTCTCAGCTTCTTCTCCAGTACCACGTCTGCCTACATGCCACCATGATGACAAAGGACTAAACCTCTAAAACTGTAAGCCCCAATTAGATGTTTTCCTTTATAAGAGTTTGTCACGGTCATGGTGTCTCTTCACAGCAACAGAAACCCCAACTAAGACATGTGTATACCACTAGACCTACTTCAAAAATAAAACAGCTCTAGACAAAAGGAATACAAAGTGCAAAACCTTTGTGTGGTAGAAGCATGAATTTGTCCAAGAAATATCAATAAGGGCAGGAGAGACACCTCAGTGGTTAAGAGAACTTCTGCTCTTCCAGGAGACCTGGGCTGGATTCTCAGCACCCACACAGCAGCTCACAAGTCTTTAAAGTCCAGCTCTAGGAGATTCAGTGGACACTAAACGTATGTGTTTCACATCACATGCATACAAGCAAATCACTAATGCACAAAAAATAAAAAGAAACACCAATAATACTAAAAGGTACTTTAATACTTAGTGGTACAAGATACTTGTCAATTGTTATTGCCATTTGAAGAAAACAGTGACACCTTCCCCAAGCGCGCGTGCACGCGCACGCGCACACGCGCACACACACACACACACACACACACACACTTTTCAACAGAAAAGAGAATGTATACAACACAGTCTCTGGACAGGAAAACTTAACAATAGTAATAATAGTAAAAAGAAAGCAGAGCCCTCCTCATGATGGAGGGAACCAAACGCCTGCAGGATCCTTGCCGCCCACGTCATGGTACCTGACACAGCCCTGACCCACAGAGGACACAAGGTCTAGTCAGGAGGTTGCAGGAGCAACAAGACTTTTGGTGGCGGCAACTAGAAGCTGCATTCTAAATGATCTGAATGCTGATGACACCTGTTCAAACTCAATGAGAAGTAGAGTGACTCGTGTTTGAATAATAAGTGTCCCTTTATTTGCTGATTACATTAGCAACAAAAGTGTTTCCTTGAGTTGATGTCAGAGGCAGTTACTTCCCAAGTGTTAAGTAAAGCAGTGTACAACATCAGTATTAAAATGTTAAATTTCACGTTGTCTACACCACTTTGATCTTCTGAACAATTTAATTGACCAAAATAAGGTAAAAGATTACATTTATTTTATATTTAGGAATGTAAAGGTCTAATTATTCAAACAGTTTTATTATAAAACTAAACTCTGGAGGTGTCTACAGAGTTGGCTTTTTAAAGTGTTTTTAAGTCAGTAGTCTAACAAGGGTTAGAAAAGACAAAACTGTTCAGTGTCTGACAAAGTAGAAAGGGTAAAACATAAATAAGGCTTTAATTTGGCAAAATATAATACAACGCCTTCTGTTAGCTTCTAACGAGTAATTTCCCAATTACTTCACTCTGTAAAAGATAAGAAAGCAATCCATTTAGAACAAAGTAAGAAAGGTACCCTGAGTGCTGTATCTCACACATACTTCATGAGATCACCCTGGCACTTTCAGGGGCACCCAGAGCAATGCGTTCTGATGGTCATCAACATGAAAAGAGTCTCAACATTCAGAAGAAGATTTCAAGAACATATTTTAAAAAGAGAACAACCCTGAGAAGTCATTCTTATTTGCTCAGGATATGTAAACCTAAGGTGCCAGTGCTGAACAGACTGAATTTACAAACCCCACCACTAATAAGCACAAACACGGTCTGAAGCCAGCAGGAAGTAGCCAATCATCTCAGGACTTGTTTAAAGCTCTCTAATAATTAAGCCCTTTTCATAGCACCAAGTCGGCATACTTGGCGTATTTTGTCCAGACTTCCAGTATCTATGCCATTCACTGTATGCAAAGAAAAGCTTCAGTAAATCATTAATGATGTTGGCAAAACAGTTTTAGACAGACATTATTCTAGAGTAGACAGAGAAATTACAGCAAGGAAAGAAAAAAACACACTGAGAAAAATGTCTTCTTGGGAACACTTGTTAAAAAGTAAAATAAAAACTTAGACTGGTGAGGCAACGGTGGCGCACACCTTTAATCCCAGGACTCGGGAGACATAAGGAGGCGAACCTGTGTGAGTTTGAGGCCAGCCTGGGCTACAGAGTGAGTTCCAGGACAGCCAGAGAAAGCCTGTCTTTTGTTTGTAACAAACAAACAAAAATTAAAAAAAAAAAAAAAAGGTTTAAAACGAACAAAATACTTAGACTGACAACATGCAGGAAAAACAAGATTAAAGCAAGGGTCGGGCCATGCTCACAAGACAGAAAAAAAAAATGTCAGGCTGAAGCTACAGAAAGAAGTGAAATGCAAGAAATTCTCTATGAACAGAAAGCAAAGCTGCCTGCCATTTGGAAAAGCCAAGTGTCAGAAACATGACTTCAGGAAATGGGAAAAGGACTCACACTGGAGAGCAAGTAAAGCCTGAGATGGGTTCACTGTGCCCAGTCTTCTGAGGGGAGTTAGCATTTGTAAGAGCACGAGCTTAGGGAGGCTAAAGGAGACGTATCATAAACACAAACTGTGACACTACATGCCTGCCACATGACAAGAGAAGCCTGTCAACTTTGCCACAGACTTCCTAACCTATCCCTGGGACCTTTGATACAGGTTCTGAATGGCAGTTTCAGGTGTCCCTTTGTGCCGACAGGGTATCACCATTATTTTGGAGCAAACAGCCTCAAAAGGAGAATATCCGAAATATTCTGTGTATACTTAAATGTTCTACAGGTAGTATGCTTTAAGTCATCTATAGAAAGCAAAACATAGATAACAAAGCCTCCATTCAGCAGCAGGAACACAAGGCATTTTTAAATGCTGCTAATGCTGAGCTTTCTATAGTCATGTAGGCAACAAGAGCTCACAGCATGATCTAATGATGAATTTGTTATTTCTCCTAAAGCAAAACTCTCACTTCAAGCATAAAAAATTAAACTTTTTAGATTATCTACAAAAGCAAACTCAAACAAAACACCAACTTGGTATGGTGGTGCCTCTGTAATTCTAGCACAATGGAGGCCTCGCCTACCACTACCTGAGCAAGTCACCACAAAACAAGAAACAGGCAAAACAAAATGCCAAGCCAGCTTCCAATCTACAGCAATGGTGTTAATCTAATACTCCTCCCATCTCTAGATAGACAATAAACATTGTACACCTGTTTCATGTTACAAAGTTATGATGGTTTCATTTTCAGTCTGGCATTGATAAAACAAAGGCAAAAGCATAAAGGGAAGGAAAATGTCACACAGACACCTGCCCTGAACTAGGATCAGAATCAACTAATGGGCAGCTGAAGACATCATGCCAACAGACCAACCCAGGCAGGCAGTCAAGTCACAAAGCATCTGCCCAACAGAGGCTGAAGTAACCACACCAAGATGCTCTTCCTCTAGACCAAGGACTGCAAAATATGCGCAGGCAGGAGAGAAACCAAGCAAGAAAAGTCAGCCATGGAAAACTGGGAGAGGGATGAAAAGGGCATCTTTTCTACAGTGAAATGAAAAGTGACCTATCTTACTGCGAGTATGTATTTTATATGTACTTCTCCCCGACTATGTTACGGATAAAGAAACAGCAGTACTTGGTGTCCCTACCCCGCAGCCAGAATCACTTCTCCTTCATGAGTTGCTGATTTACTTCCTGAAGCAACTGCTGTAACTGTGTCACAGTCTGATTGAGACTCACAGACATTGTCTCTTTCTCAGGAGACCCCTGAAAAGAAGGTGGAAGGGATAAATAATTTCAAAAACCTCCAAACACAAAGACCAAGAATGTGCAACCAAAAAGGGAAACTGATGTTTTTAAAATTGTAAAAGAGGAAAATCTGAACATTCATTAAAAAATATTAGCAACGGTAAAATGTTTGCTGATTAGTAGCACAAACTGGCATGAAAGGAAATGCTGCATAAAATGCTGGCCACAGAGGGAAAAATCTAGTCTGTGGACATTGTAAATAATGTATTGTTTTCCTTTCAAAAGACAAAAAATGACTATATTAAAAAAAAAAAAAAAAAAAAAAAGGCTTGTCCAGCAAAGGAGAGCATACCTCCTACAGTCCCAGCCACAGGTGCCACCCACAGGGTTCTTAGTGGGTGCCAGAGCTGCCCTCTCTTCAAGGTATTTTACAGGGCACTCAGTTGTTCCTCTGACAACCCAGGACAGGAGTTATTACCATTTTCTTTTATTGAAGCAGAGCAACTAGGGAATTTCCCTCAGACCACACATGAAGTTAATAAGCAGCACTACTCTATCCTCAAGTCTGTCCCCTTGCCCCAGACATGGAAGCACAGATTGGAGCCAAAGACTGGTCTTGCACATGCTTGTTCTTCAAAAAGTTTACAGGGCAATTAGCCTAGAATCTTGCGGGTAAAGGAAATACACACCGTTTCTGAGGAAACAGCACTGTTCTCAATAACAGTAGAGTCTCCAGCAGCTTTTAGTGAAATTCTTGAATGGATGAAGTTCAGTGACTGTTGAGCCTGTACCACAAGCAACAAGGAGCAAATACATCAAAACACACAAAAGAAATAACTTGAATATGTATTTTGCACAATGTACAACTTTTGTCACCAAAATGAAAATAGCTACATCTCCCACAGTGTTTACACTGTGTTTGAATTATTGAAAGTGTCTACACTTTCAATAATTCAAACACAGGAACTGTATAAAGAAATTAAAACTAGGAATAATCACACTGATATTTAAGTTTTAGTCTAGATTACAAGTCTGCCAAATCCCACCCACAATCTGCCTTTTACAGCTCACATTTAAGAATAGGTTTTATGTTTTTAATTAATTTTGAGATAGCCTGATAGCTCAGATTGGCTTTGGACTCATTAAGTAGACAAGGGTTATGTTGAACTAACCATCCTCTGGCCCTGCTGCCCAAGTAGTTATATTATAGGCATGTGCCACCACACTTGGACTTTCTAGTTTTGTTTTTGAATGAAACACATAAGAATATCACACTCAGACCACTGAGTTTGCTGACTACTATTCTGAATCCTTCTAGGAACATAAAACACATTTAGAGAAAACTAGCAGAAAATTTGATATAAATGGGCTCCAACAACATACTTTAAGTTTTACACTCCAGGTTTTACAAAATGTTGTGTTAAAACACTTTCAGTCCATAAATATTTACGTGCATTTCCAATCCCAATCAAGTACTCCTATAACATAAAGGTAGGTGACTGGCACCTATCCTTGCCATTTCCACCATCACACATACCATGGCCTATCTACATTTTTAAAATCCTGAAAGTACTGTCTGAGAAACTGCATTGCCAGGCTAAAATTACATCTTTTATATTTTGATTCATGGGCCAAAATTTAAAATAACATACCAAATTAAAGTAAGAGTTTGTACTCTCTCTGGGCATGGTGGCACACACCTTTAATCCTAGCTCAGGAGGCAGCTTGAGGCAAGCAGGTCTACATAGAGAATTACAGGCCAACAAAGGCTACATAGTGGGACCCTGTCTCAAAATAAAACAAAAAAGAGTTTGTACTCTAACATAAACTTCCTGAATTCTCATTTAACATTTCATCTGCATTTAAATAATCTGACATTTTTCAAGCGTTTTTTAATTCTTAGTTTTCTGTATTAATAACAATAAGCTTTAAGTTTGAAAAGAAAAATACTTTTCATATTCTTATGAAATGATATGGCATGATATTTAAATGAGAAACTTTTAAAAGATCTGTTAGCATATTAATATTTAAATGTTTAGTAGTACCCAGTAATTGGTACAGGTATCAAAATTTAAGCTGTGCAAACCCTTGATTCTGCAATTCCAACAGAGTGACATGTAATTTTTCTGATAAAAAAAATCTTCATAAATACTAGCATAGCTCTAAGCCAACTTTGCTTTCAAGAATGCAAGAACAACTACAAACACAGCAAGCACATCAGACTGGTAAATAACCTGTTAAACAAATGCGGAGTAAGAAACACAATCCTAACAAATCATCAATTTGAATGTGAGAATAAGAAAAACATTTGTGCTCCGCATGGTGGCACACACCTGCAATCCAGCAGTCAGGAGGCTAAGTCACTGAGTTCAAGGCCAGCCTGGGCTACATAGTGAGGCCCTGTCTCAGAAGAAAGAACAGGGTGAGAGAAGAGGGGAGGAGAAGAAACAAACACTGGTACAAAGAACTGAATGAAAGGAATGAACTTCTAAAACTACAGGTATTTCCACACTCTTCCTTTCCATCAACAAAAAGAAAGGCGCTTTATAAATGACAATGGCAAATTTTATTGTAAAACTTGAGAGTGCTGGAGAGGTGGATCAGTAGCTAATAGCGTGGCTGCTCTTCCAGAGGACCTGAGTCCAATTACAGCACCCACATGTAGCTCATAAGCATCTGCAACTCCAGTTACAGGGAGTCCAAAGCCCCCCTGAAGTCTCCAGAGGTACTAAGTACCCATGTGGTATATGACATACATGCCAACAAAATATCCATATACATCAAATAATAATTTTAAAGAATTTTTCAAAAGTAAAGAAATAAAAAGCAAAAACTTTAACTCTAAATGGGGAAGCAAGTGAAAATTTTTGTCCCAGCAATCAGCAGCCTACACTTCTAAAGACCCAAAAGGACAAGAGCAGTTTTACAGTGTGTCTACTCAGGACGCGTGCACAGCACAGGTTGGGGATACTGTCTCCGAGCCAAGCAGCATCTTACCTTATGCAAATCATCAGCTACCTTCTTTCTCTCACTTTGTTCATTTTGAAGTTTTGTGAGTGTTTCATTTAATTGTGTCTTCAACTGTAGAAACACAGGAACAGAATGATTAACTTCATTTGCATGCTTATTTGCTAATGCAGAATGAATATAGAATGAGCTCTTAACAGCCATTATACACAGTGGATTAGCTAAGAGCTGGCCAGAGGTATAGAGGAGCTGGCAGCAGAAGTCCCATCTGCAGAGCAGAACCGAAGAGAAGCTACAGAATGAAGAGAGTTTAGTGTAGAAACTGTCAACCCCAAACCAGAGTCAGATGCTAGCAAAGTGCCTTTGAAAGTTACTCTTCATAGTTATTGAAATTATTCCAAATCAAAAGGAAAATGGAAATTTTCCAACCAGCTTTAAAACACTCCTTTAATCTAGAGTTCTCTTAAAAACTCTATTTTGGGGGGGCTGGAGAGATGGCTCAGAGGTTAAGAGAACTGGCTGTTCTCCCAAAGGTCCTGAGTTCAATTTCCAGCTCACTACCATCTGTAATGAGATCTGGTGCCCTCTTCTGGCCTGCAGGGATGTGTGCAGGCAGAACATTGTATACATAATAAATAAATAAATCTTAAAAAACAAAAAAAAAACCCAACAACTCTATTGTGGAATAATCATTTTGTACACTGTGAAGATGTGTCAAGATATGTTACTCAGATAGGTTTAATAAAAAGCTGAATGGCCAATAGCTAGTCGGGATTTTCAGGGCACAGAGGAGCTGGGAAGAAGCAGAGTGAAGTTGCCAGCCAGAGGCAGAAGAAGCAGGAGGAGAGATAACAGCCACGAGCTAGGTGGCTGGACATACGTTTAAAAAAAATGGGTTAATGTAAGTTATAAGAGCTAGTTAGAAACAAGCCTAAGCTATCGGCTGAGCTCTCACAATTAATGTCATTATTGAGAAGCGGAGGAGGGTCCTGATGAAGAAGTCTGACTACAAATGGTATCCAACGTGGGGACACGTATTTCCACATAAGACCTAAAAGAGTTCTAAAAAAGGTTCCAAACAAACAAAAATGAAGCCAACAAAGCTTCCGAGTCCCACAGTTCTCCTGAGGCCGCAGTACAGAGCACATCTCCCACCCACTGCCTGTAGGCAGCGCACCATGAGCTAAGCTGCATGGTGGTTTAAGATTTTGATCATGCAAACAGAAAAGGTTTCAAATAAAAGCAGGGTCAGACAGAAAAACACTCTAAACGGGTTACAGTGTGTTGAAACTGTGTGTGGGCTAAAAAAAGAAAAGAAAATGGGTGTAGATAGTTACATAAAAAAAATAGTTTATAAATAATAAGATAAAGTCTTTAAAGAAAACAAAATAATACAAAAAATACATGTAGAGGTGAAAAATGCACAGTCTGGATCTTGTATGGTGTTGTGTTGACTTTACATTTTTTGATTGCTGCTGAGCAAACAATAGCTGCTGAGAGACATTGGATTATAAAAGCTACTATTTTTAAAATGTCTTAACTTCAAAATGGAAGTAAAAAAAGACGTTATGTTGGGGAAGAGGTTATTTAGGTTATGCTTGTCTCCACAGAAAACAAAAGGCTATGGATTCATTCAAGGCTGATAGAGATCAGGTTTGATCAGGGGAGACACCTGAAAATCCTGGCTATAAACAAAGAAACATAAAAAAACTACAAGACAGGTAACATATATTTTACCTGCTCAAACATAGAAAAATTATCTTTAACTGACTTGTGTTCACTGCACATTCCATACTTGTGTTAATGCAGATACGCATGTTACTTTTGAAAGTTTATGGGTTTTCAGAACCAGGGGACCAGACACCAATGAAAATGGGTGGCCCAGGTGATCCAGCCTCTCAGATGCCTCTGTTGCAGTTTCCTCAGAGTTCTGCATCCAAAACAGCTTCAAGGCTGCTGGATGAGATGGCCCAGCCTCACAGACTATAATAGCCAGGACTTGACCATTATCCTAATTTTCTCAGGGTTCCTCAAAGATGCTAGTGCCCAGCCAACAAGAAGCAGACTAGAGAACAAAACGCCCACATTCCCAAGAGATCAGGTGGGTAGTTTTTGTCATTTGGTGGGTTATGGATGTTTGTCATTGTTTAGGGGGAGGGGAACTAGTTACAAATTATTATTGGTCATGATGAAGGAGATTAGATTCAGGGATCTCTTTATGAAAAGAAAAGAGAAGAGAAATATTTTATATTGCTATGGATTTTTGAATATTGATACAAATATAAGGTTATTTTTGTCAGAACATACTATACATACATTTCTTCTCTTGTTTAAGGTAGTGTAACTATGCATCTCATTTAATGGAAATTTCTAGTCCTTGAAAGTTATTATTACAAACTATTTAGGATAATAAAGAAGTGCAGGTTAGTAGTTAGTCATCTATAACTTGTAGTCATGTTAGGTATATTTTCAAGGTCAAACATAGATGTTTTAGATACATGGTCTTCAAACATTTCAAAGACTGATAGATATGGCATTTAAAATATTTTTAATAACATAAGCCTTTTTATGACAGTTAGACTCGCCTGCTCCTGGCAGCACCAATTTATTTCAAAATAGGATGATGGACATTGAAAATACTCCATATGGATTTTGCTTTCAGTGTGGCAAAACTAGCCATTTGGGCAAGAAACTGCTCTTGTCCTGACTGCTGATAGTACACTACACAAACTGGACAAGCAAGACACAAAGGAAAAAGACCACTGAACTTTGCCAAGATAAGGCAGGATCATCCTTAAAAATTCCTGTTTCATAGAAAATTCTGCCAGACATTCTGCAGGACATACAGGAAAGTGACTACCAAACTTTGGCGAAACAAGGTGGGGCAGTCCTTCAAAATTCTTGCTTCACAGAAAAGTCTGTCAGATACTCTATGCCTACAAGCCGAAGATGGTGCCCCAACATTGCAGAGGAACCTTGGGGTGACTGTCCAGGAGGCTAGATGTTTCTGTCATTTCTTAGTCTTGGAAGTGGCTTGCTCTGCACTTTCTGTTTACTCAGGTAACATTATATCCTTCTCGGGTCTTTCATGGAGTTGTAGACGATGTAGGTTATAGTTGCAATTTTCCTTAGTTATGATAGAAGGTAAATTAGGCACACAGCTTTAGACTCATGAAGATAGAATATTGGAATATTTTCTCCTAATATGCCAAATGGAATGGACATTGTAAACGTAATTCTTACTTGATAATTATTCTTATTTTATATAGTTCCAATACCTTCCCTTTCTATTTAGACAATGCCTAATAATTGTTCTTATTGTATATAGTTTTACTACGTTACTATGTTAGAGTTAAAACCTTTCCTTTTTATTTACACAAAAAGGGGGAAATGTTGTGGAATAATTTTTTTTGTATACTGTGAAGATATGTCACTGAGACTGGTTTAATAAAAAGCTGAATGGCCAATAACTAGGCAGGACTTTTGGGGCACACCAGATGCTGGGAAAAAGCAGGGTGGAGTTGCCAGCCAGATGCAGAGGAAGCACGATGTGCAGGAGGAGAGATAACAGCCATGAGCCATGTGGCAGGTCATAGATTAATAGAAATGGGTTAATATAAATTAGAAGAGCTAGTTAGAAACAAGTCTAAGCTATAGGTCAAGCTTTCATAATTAACACTAAGTCTCCATGTCATTATTGGGGAGCCGATGGTCCCAATGGAAAAGGTCGACTACAAAAGTCAGTCGGGGTACTGAAGAGTTGGCTATGTTTAAGAGCACTTGTTCTTGGAGAGGACATTGGTTTTGAAGCTCAGCACCCACATATGCTGTGGGATGTCTTTCTGTATGCCGTGAATATGTATTGCTCCCACTGGCTAATAAATAAAGCTGTTTTGGCCTATGGCAAGGCAGCTTAGAAACAGGTAGGAAATCTAAGCAGAGATACCGAAAGAAGAAAAGAGAGGAGGGAGATGCCAGCCGCGACCCAAGGAGCAACAAGATACCAGAATGGTAACCCCATGGCCACGTGGCAAAACATAAATTAATAGAAATGGGTTAATTTAAGATGAAAGAGCTAGCAAGAAGCCTGCCATAGGCCATACAGTTTGTAAATAATATTAAGCCTCTGAGTGATTATAAGCAGCTGCAGGACCGGGGGCCGGGTGGGACCATGGGGCCAGGCAGGAAAGGAGAAACTTACTACTACACTACACACATGCTGTCTTTAACTCCAGTTCTAGGGGATCCAATGCCTCTTCTGGTCTCTGCAGGTACCAGACATGCATGTGGTGCAAAAACATACAGATAGGCAAAATACCCATACACATAAAATAATAAATCTAAATTTTTTTAAGAGAGTCAACTGCTTATCACTTTAAGACAATGAATAGTTTAAGTAATTTTGAAAACAGCTATGTAAGGTCACTCTAGCCTGAACTGCACCAGTAAGAAATGCTAAGATAGAATTCTCAATAGCCAACTTGTCAAAAACAGGTTGTATATAAACCCAGTATCCATGTATAATAACTCTTTTCTCACAACTGTTTCAATTAGATAGAAAGGAAATTGTCCACATTACCTAAAGAGTTATTGCTAGGCATGGTGACATACACCTTTAATCCCAGCACCTGGGAGGCAGAGGCAGGCAGATCTCTAAGTTTGAGGGCACCCTGGTCAACAGAATGAGTTTCAAGACAGCCAGGGCTACACTGAAATCCCATCTCAAAAAATGGAAAGAAAAAAAAAATTACTGATTTTGCCTCCCAGCCACAGGCATGACCTTCCAAACACTTTTAGAGACTTAACAGGAGTAACAAGTAAACAAACAAATACACTAACATTTAAAAGGGGATGGAGAATCCCCACTAGGACAATTTATTTGGAGAACTACATTTAAATGCCTAAAGCTTTTGCTTTTAGTGAAACTTAACTGAGAGTTTTGTAAAGCTTTGGCAGAGAGGGTCTTTTGGCACAAGAACACAACAGTGTGTGTATGGCCAAGCAAATTCATTTTATTTTAAAATAAAGCAACTATTACAATCACTTAAAATGTTCTCCTGATAGCAGAAAGAACCTTCTAAAAACATACTACAGGCTAACAAGGGTGGCCTATCACATGCCTGACAGGTGCAGTATATAGCAAATACATGCACAAAACTAGTCTTATACTACACTGGAGATGGGTCTACTTAAAACAAAGCATTGGTCAATGAAACAAGATCATGAAGAACAGTTTGTGTGTGTGTGTGTGTGTGTGTGTGTGTGTACACATACGTACAATACTCTTTATTTACTCCTCATACAACTCTAAAAACTAATTCTCATCAATCACTGTCATACTGAACATCATGGTGCACACCTGTAAATCTCAATAAACTGCAACACTCCGCAAGCTGAAGCAGGAAGACTGCTGCCAGTTCAAGGCTAGCCTGGATTATATAACCAAGGACGCCAACTAGGACAAATCCAACTAGGTAGAGGGAACAGGAAGACAGGGAAGGTGGGGAGGAAGGGAATGCTGAGATACATGCATGAAGATGCTTGATGAAAGCCAGTATTGCATGTTAACCTAAAAAATGCTTTAACACTAGAGCAAAAACTCCAGATTTAATAAACATGACTGCTGTAAGAAAGAGTGATCAGAAATGAGAATAAATAAGTAAGTTCTCCTTGTACATGTGCAGTGCTAAATGAAACAACTCTCAACTAGCAGGACTGATTTGGAGTAAGGAAAAACTTACTGTCTTCTTCCTAAAGTATGCTCAGATACTTAAAAAAAGTTAATCTGTAACATTTTAAATCACAAGAAGTTAAGATGATTAGTGTATAAAACAGAACAAGACAGCTGTATCTATTCAACAGCTCAGCATGTCAACAATCCACATAAATCCCTAAAAAAGACAAGAACAGGAATGCAAGAGCGTCATGTCTTAAAACCTGTAGCTGCAGCTAGGCCTGGTGGTGCAGTCCCCGCTCCTTGGACAGCCTGGGCTATAAAAACTCACAGCTACCTTAGGCAATTTAGCAAGACCCGTTATCAAAACTAAAGGGAAAGGCTGAGGATGTAATTCAGAGAAAGAAT